TTGGAACGAACACGGGGACGCGAATACGCTCACCTGTATCAAAAAAAAAAAAAAAAAAAAGAACGAAGCTTTGAAAATCTATTCAAGCAAAAGATTTGAAAGAAAATGAATGTTTGCCGTGAGCTCTTCCCACTGTTTGATTTTATCGCCGGTACGAGCGCAAGGAGTGCTTCATCTACTTAATGAAGGAGCTCACCGATAGGTGGCGAGCCGGCAAGCGAGATGACGAACATACTGAACTGGCGCGCTTATTTGAATCAGCGCGAAAGTTGCACGACTTTCTAGCAAGAGACGTATTTGATTCCACGGATCAACCTGTTGTCCCAAGACGAAAACAAGGGAATGCCAGGTGACGCCGCAAACAACAACAACAACACTACCCCCCGCTGATGTTCACGTCTTTAAGCTGCGCGACAATATGGTAATAATACAGTGATTCGTTGGCAAACAAAACAGCAAATGAGGAGAAGTAGACTACTTATTATTATAATGCCGCTAGTGTTACTGATCTGCTTAGTACGACGATTGTGATGAATAATTTATATATATATAACGTAAAGGCATATATACCGATATAATAATGCGTGATGATCAGATTAAAATCAACGTCTATAGGTTCCAAGAAACAAATAAGAAATTGTTTAGTGGTAAGATAGATGTCGGTGGCCATAAAGAGGAAAGTGAGGTAGACTTGCGCTTTTCGGGGCACAAAATAAAGATAAGACAAATTACAGACGCTTTGAAGCGAAAATCTCGGGTAGTAAGTGATGCGTGGGCGAAGGCTGACGTTAGATGTAGGTACATGAAAAAGGGCACTAAAATGAAAGAAAATTGATGAAAAAAATAAGTAGCAAACTAAACCCTGAACATGGAAAATGAAGGAGGTGTCAGGATAAGGCTACGGTGAAGTAGATGGAGCAAGAAGTAGTTGCCAAGAGAAAATTTTGTTAGCTCGATTCATGCTGAATCCCAACGAATTGCTGTCCACTTCATTGGAAAAAAAATTTTATAATAAACGTATATATTATTCGCACTTATACAGTAAACAAACTTCATTTTATTCCAAATGGCAACCCCAGCCAGTCATACAACTTGTATGTATAAGAGATAGATTAGAAAAACGTTTTTTAGGTAGATTGGTAGTCCGGTCCTTAATCATCCTAACATGCTTGCCATCCCTGAATAAATGGTGGTTTTTCTTCTGTATACTTTAGCAATTATAGGCTTAAATATTGCCAAGGTATGTACATATATATTTATTTATCAACAAATATGCAATCACAGATATTTACGCTTTTAGTGGTCTTCATTTTGAGGACACGCTCATAAAAGTCCTAAAGAGATTCTACCGGGCGTTAGTTTTAGGAAAGGCTCGGCACTTTGACTGGTTAGCAAGTGTGATTTTACCTATCGTGGATGATCTGAAACCTCTGATGAATGCTCCTCGCTAAACTCGCTATTCCTTAGCTGCGTGTTCAGACGGTTATATAAACTCATTGTTTATTATCCTTTATAGTCTATGTTCTGACAACAATAGACAATGGATAAGCTGAGATATGTCCTACGGCGGGGCATATGACATGTGTTCATCCCAATTCAGTTCATTATTATTATTTTTTTTTGTTTTTTGTTTGCTTTACTACAAGCTGTTAATTTTGCTAATTCACTATTATACATCATTTCACTAGAACGTTATAAAAAGAACTCTATAATAGGTTACCTTCAGTTTAGAAGCCTTAGAAAGGCGCGATACGCTCTCGCGATATGGAAAATATGAATATGTTGCTATATCATTTATTATTTTCCCTATGTTGTGTTTTCGCTTTACATGCTAACATCGAAACCCGTTACAACTGCATATGGCAATCAAAATCCAGATCTTACTCCAGCTAGCCGAAGCTGCAAATCGTCAACGATTATTGTTGCACTACTAAAATAAAAATAACATTGGGTATACCATCTCTTATATGTTTGAGCTACCTTGAGCCTGCTGAAATTGAGAACAGAGCCTGCTGAAAGGTTTGACAACAGAACAACGAACGAATTAAGTAGCATTGGCAGGCTCACAGAAATCCTTTGACAAGCCTTTCTTTATTTTTTATTTGAACGCGCATGGGCTCGTTACTAGAAGCACCACAACACACGGCAAACGACCCGTATGGCCGACCATTCACAGAGGCGCTAAGCACCCATCATGAATCGGTACCACGTGCGCTGTGCTTATAGCATGAAGCAGAACATAGCTTCAGCTTAAGAAGAGATAATATTCTCGAGTCTCGATAAAGGTAAACATATCCATCTCAATGCTTATTATTATAAATATATAAAAACTTCCGAAAATTTTGAAGTTAGAAAAGGTATCCAGTTGCGATAGCAAACAATCCTAAATGTAAGTTTGTAACCTAATTTCATTAATGGTCTCTGAACGTTTCATCGTAACCGTTTCGTCGCTTGCGAAGCACGTACGCATTTAGTTATTCGAGCAAAATTCTTATAGATATTGCATGCGCATGAAACGTACGGTAGCCCTAGCAAGTTTAACTTGTGGTGTTCCTCCTTGACGAAAGAGCAGGAATTTCCCCCTGGCGTCCTATAGTGACATAAAATTCTGGCTAGCTGGGCTTGTGGCCCCTGCGAATAGTTGGAGCTTGAGTTGCACCCGTGTGACTGGAGCTACCGCCAACGCCTCTTCACCCATAACAGTTTGTAGCTGCGACTTCATCGACCAGGGGGTGCAATGCAAAGCTCATCCTCGAGAGGTTGCGATGTAGCCAGAGCCCTGGCTACAGGCCGTGGCTTCCAATTTCAGAATTTATTTCCCAGGCGTAGCATCGTCTAGAGATGCAGATAGGCTGCACGAGTAGGCTTTGTGATTCTTTCACAAAAGCCGTTAGAAAGAACTCGCGTATGACTTCAACGTTAAACGCGTCTTTGTCGCTTACATCCAACCTTCGGTCGCAAATTTGTTGACGCACTATTGTAGTCGGCTGCCGGTGTTGAGCGTCAACGTCTGCTTGCCTTCAAGATCCCCCTTATGATGCAGGGCTAACGAGATTTTCATCAGTTCACCTATAAAGGTTTTAAAGGGGCAATGTACACACAGTGTTGTTTCAAGCTAATGAGGATAAACCATATGAAACTGTGTTTAAGGGTCGGATATAAGACTCCGGACATTTATTGAGTTAATCCTGAAAGCTTGATACCATCACTGCGATCAAGCGTTGAACGTATCGGATTAAGAACTTTAATTTGAATCTACGTTTAGCGAACAGCTGCCTCTGTATTAGACTGGGGGACTAAAGGAACTCTGTACTATTGGCGCTCGATAGGCCAAAAATGAAGTACAGATTTCAAGGAAAATCACTCTGCTTAGAGCCGCAAGGAACGCGCATACTTAGAATACCGACTGGTTGATCACTTGAGCTAACTCAACAATGTAAAATCATTAAAAAAACGTCGAGGATAGAGCTCGTGTAAACTATTTAATATCAATTCGTTCAATACGCTCCATCCAACTGCTATAGCTTTCCTCCGCCCGACGAAAATCGAAGGCCGTGGCCTTACAGCAGCCACCGAACTGCTACAGGTGTCACATCAAAAGCAAAGTACAGCTGCGTCGTCAGTGTTATGTGTATATATGAACTATAGCCTATAATCGCCATTGCAATCGTAGAAGCAGCCTGCAAAAGCGCTGTCCGACGCGGACCTGGACGGATTGAATCCGCCGCATTTTTTTAGATGGTCGTCCCTTATTCTGGCAATCGACTGCTGTTCGCCGCTTTTGAGAACGGATCGGGCCTTTGAACGAGGACAGCTTCTCGTTAGTACTAATCATATGTGAGTGTTTACTGATATAAGGGGAGAACGGCAGGTTCGTAGTTATCTATTTGATCATAGCCTTTGTATATCTGTATTTATGAAACGATCTGTACATCAAATAATATGCCTGCCAGTTACGGTGGCCAACAGGGGACAAGGCTTGTTGCAGATTACCGAATGGTTCTTTATTGAAATAGCAGCTGTTAGCGGTATAGCTCATCAAACTATTAAATAAATTTCTAGTTAACGTTATTGTTATCATCAACGTTCATTTTTTTAGACTGTACTTTTATATTCCCTATCGATTGTATGATAGGGACAGATCTAAGGCTTCTTCGAACGATTGTTGATGATTAAGTGTGCCTTCACCGTAGCGTTCTGCAACAATTATTGGTAGAAGCTTCAGCTACTACGGATTCCTTGCTATCGCACATAACCGATTTGATGAACGCCGTCCAAATAAGTTTATATTTAGTTACGGTGACGGCCACTGCATTCTTAAATTTCTAGCCCGTATTTTCTAGGTAAATCTCAACGGTATGACAGATGTGATCTTAATTAAAAATTGTATTTTTTTCTAATGGGCGAATAAGCTTCAAGTTAGTAATGGAAAAACGCATCGCTCATGATAAAGATAGTCGCCTGGCGTATTTGTGATAGATTCAACTATTCGTTCATGGTAGGTCTTGATCGTGTGTTTCGTGTAGCTGCGATTTGTGTGACAGCGTTGATACAGTAAGTGTTGTCTTCATTTTACCATAGCGTACTCTGAACCGTGACAGCCCGTTGACTTCATTTAAGCACGTGTCATTCATTATATGCTCCGCGAACCGGCCTCATATGGTTCATCAGCGCCGCTATAGTGGAGTATCCGCTTAAAATCCAATGAGAAGGACTATGTATATAAACGGCAACGGCATGACCGATGACACGCAGCTCCGGCAGATATTTACGCTTGAAATATTCTATCTAACCTATACCTGGTCGGTATAATACCTGCACTAATAATGATAAAATTGTAATTTTAATGTAATATAATGTAAAAGGCTGCCAATTGATGTTCCAGTTGTAGCTGGGAGGTCCTAGTTGACCCCCCGCTTCTACTACAATGAGAACTCAATGTTAGTCAACAATGAAATTAGGTATTATCGTTTGCATCCACACTTGAGATAGTTATTTTTCGTAACTACTAGACAATTTTTCAAAATCAGCCCTGCGTTACAACTTGCAGTTCCAGGTCGCGAATTCTCCCTGAGCCAAAAGGTAAACACCTTTAAAGATGCCGCTTGAGGCTTGAGTGCTGATCTTCAAGTATTAAGAGGTCGTTTTTTAGAGAGCATTTCTTTGTTTCCTGCCTGACTCCTTTTCTGTTTCATACCCTCCACTTGAGGTACCCACGGAGGCGGGCGAGCATTAACAGTTTGTCCTACTAATTAGCCAATACTCCGACCTACACCCAACCCAGATAGGAACGACTGTATCTCCTTGTTACGAGGGTGACACGTGTTCAAGGCGATATATTGTGAAACTCATTAATACGCAGGTTCATCCGTTCATTCGTGCTCTTCGCTATTTGTAAGAAGCAAGTTGTTATCGTTTGACAGCCAGATGTGGAGTTGGCAAATTACGCGCTTTGTTACCTATCTAGAACTAGCCTCTCATAGAAAACGTTGGGTAGGTCCTTAAATTTGTCCTGCCTATGCAAAGGGATGTTAAGATAAGTGGTGATCAAAACTGGATTTGTTCTGCCTGGAAGATCGCACATTACGTTTACATAAACATTTCGTACGATATATAGTAACTAGTCGAGTGAAAGACGCATTGACTGGTGGACGCCTGTATTATTACTAATCCGTAATAGTGAAAGTAAAAGAATACAATCATATACTTTAGTAATGAATTTCATCAGTACGTTATAGGTACTCTAAAAGATTAGGCTTTTGAATTACCATCGCCACCGCTAACACCATCGTTCTCGAAATGTACAGGAAGATTTATATATGTTGTACGGGTGTACGTAAAAAAGAAAACCCAATGCGAATAGTTCTGTATCAGTTTTTCTGATCAAAGAAAAAATGGTACACATGGTCCCGCAGTTGTCAGCTGGTCCTAAGAGAGATCGTTCCTTCCGGAAGGCCGTAATGTATTTCTTGATTATGCATGTTTCACGGCACCTCAGATATTATTCACTTTTTAGTGATAAACGTTTTTTTCTCGGATCAACTTTTCCGCTGCCTCGTGATAGAAGTAAGCGTTCCTATTCGCTACGACCCGTAAACCTATGCAGGCTCTTAGTTAAATCATAGTGAATTTGCGGCCATTTTAAAATTATATACAATTATATAACGGTTTTTAAAACTGGCCAGGTCAAACTCGACGTCTCTTAAAACCAAGTGATAAATAAAAAATAGTTTCAGTATCAACGAATTAAAACAAGAACATTCGAACGCGTGAAATTTTGACCAAATCAAATTAAAATTGTGTTTCTTTTGTGACTTGAAGGGAAGAACTGCAACAAATCAAACGGAACCCTTATTTAGTCAATCAAAAGCGGTGCAGTAACTCAGTTATAAGATTTAATTGTATCAGGATGCTCCTTTCATCGACCGTCGACGACGACATATAGCCTTTCCGATAATGGAACAGACTGGCCGACGGTGCACTGAGCTGCAAAATCCCAAGAGGTACCGTACATCCAAATGTACACGTGATAGCTATCATACCTATCTACCTGTCAAGCCTCCGACCTAAATCGACGTTTGTATAAAAATGCACTCTATGTTCATACATATGTATAATCCTTAGTACTCTGCACCTCGCTTTTTAGATATGTTCGGACCCCCCATACACGACCTTCAGATTGCTGCTTGTTGCAGTCCGGAGACAACGAGGTACGGCGATGCACCGTATAGTTAGCAGCAAATAAGTAGGACTTGTAGCATATATTGGTATCTTAAAAGGAACTGAAGGAATAGCCTGCACTCTGTCTGAGAAGGCTGACTAGGCCACGCAAGCTGTCGTGGGATAACTACCTAGATCAGTATACATATATAGATGCTCTCACGGCGGAACACATTGACGTAAGGGTACTGATAGCTTCAGTGTCGGGCCGATACATCATAATAAAACTCTGAGCGAATTGCACAGGAGCAGCGTGTCTCCACTCGGATTATTGGCAATCTGTTACGACGACCCGACCGGTTAGTGGACCTGTTAAGTCAGTGTCAGAACAATGAGTGCGTATGCAGGACAAATCGTACGCACCGTTTCTTATGTGTAGAAATGTAATTAAATTTGTGACGTACGTCAGCTGCGTTGAATTGCTTACAAGCAGCTTTGTACAAAGATGCTACAGGATATCTGGGTTGTGTAGCTACGATTATTTATAGAATAAATGTTTTTATTTTATTATATTATTTTTTATATTTTATACATTTTCTATATAATAATAATAATAATATATAAAATGTATAAAATATATATTTTTTTAAATTTATTTATATATTATATATTATAAATAAATATGCTTGAGAGGCTAGTGAATAGCAATCCAAACGTAAAAGCTGTGAAGCTTTTCTCGTTCTGTGTGATACGTACGTAACTGACTCTTCTAGAAAAAAAAAAACCCAAAATAGGTGTTTTCATATTGATTGTCTGTTTATTTGAGTAAGGCATGATGATAATAGGTTGCCTCAATCAGGAAAAGTGGATAAACGAACCAATGGAATAGAATTATTGAACCTATATAATAATATTGGTATCTAAGGTAGTGAAATAGTTCCAACAAGGCGACGGACTGTTCTCTGTCTAAGCTATAAGATCAACACGAATTAAGAGCTATCTTAAGAATAGACAGCAATCACTCTCTCTTTCCAGAGAAATAAAGCAATCTAAAGTGCTTCGACCCTCACTGCTACGATCGTGCGTACGACAGTACCTGGTATGTCTTAGTTAGTAAAAACTTAATTTTGTATCAGGGCTAGGCGTTTATCCTGGACAGAGTTCCGAAGAACACCGTTGAGGCGCTCTAACAGGACTGAGCAATAGATACCACATGTTGCCTAGACCACAAAATGTATACTAATAGGCAGAGAGTACTTCGGGGAAATAGTCTATCACCACATCCAGATCCTTCCCGATCACGAAGACTTCCAAGTGTATCATCGTGGAACAGGAAAAGCGTCAGAAGAGTCGCGCGTCGTACGGAACGTTGGTGCATACATTGGCGCACTGCACGCTCTTCAAGAAAGGAAAACTATGATGCGACTTGGGATTTATGCAGTGGTGAGTTGAAGGTTTTAGGATGAAAGAAGCTGGACAATGATCTTTCTTTGTGCGGCGGGGACTATGAAGCCCGAAGACGAGCTTAAACGAACGAGATATGGGCAATCGGCTCCGTATTTGGAATTGGGAGAAAAGAAAATGTGCATTTAGTGAGTATTATCACAATAGAAAACCCCGACTGAGGCCCCGCGCTATGGTGACAAATATCCAGACATCAGATCAGGTCTCGGTAGAAGTTATTTACACGTTAGCCTTTTCGAGGATGGAGGGCCTATCGCTTGTTTTTCGGTGGCGGCAATCATTTCTAACTGCAGCGAATGATTTTAACGGGACGATAAAAATAACTACAACGGGCCACAAAAGTAGCGTAATGAAAGCGTAAAAACGATCTATGCCGAATTAGGATTCAGGTTCGTATTGAACAGGTGTGGACTCGCCTCAGGCTGTTTCAGGAAAGCAAACGAGATCGTGCCCAGCAGAGTTTAGCGCTCTTCCGAAAGTGTGGAACAGGTACAAAAAAAGGTAAATAAGTATTTACGTTTTCTTGACAGCGCGGAAATAAGGTCGTTTACAAAATTTAAAAACACTTGAGGCGGCCTAGATCTGAAATCAAGCGTAGACACGCGTCGTCCAGCGCTGAAAGGGACCAGCTACCTAAAGCAGTGCCAAAACAGCAGTACCAAACTTGAAAACTTCTAAGTTTAGTCGTTCGCCCCCTAATATTTATTATGGTTAAAAATATGCTAACGTGTGCTGCGATCCATTACGGTACAGGTTTCGATATTAGACTACAATTTAATATCGTCAGAATAATTTACCTGTTTTGCTGTTCGGAATACTTTTGATACTATCTTATATTATACTCGAATATATTACTTACTATGTATAATATATGTACAATTACTTACACTATATTACACACGAGAGGTAGCGCGTTTCAGCTCGTAGAGGATTTGGTATGTTCATTTTGACTAGAACAACATCTGTCCATTCACTTCTCCGGAGGACTGCGTCTTTTTTACAGAGGTAAAAAAACGAGATATTTAGATTAAATATCTATACTATCAGGCGCTAACATGGACTTTCTAGTGCGACCAAAACCCGAACAACGGAAAGGTGTTAGTTTCCATTAAGTATAATAGAAAAAAAAACTCGTTCTAAACAAGTGGCATTTCTTCGCTTGATTGCCATTGCCCACTGTATTGGAGGGAACAAGCGACGTTGCACGACCCAGCTCATATTCTTCATGGCAGAAGAAGACAAACGTAGTGAATGAACTATTTAAACAAGAGAAAAAAACTGATGCCTAGGGACTGAACACATTTCGATACTTCTTCTCGGAAGACAAGCTAGTAGCTTCACGGTAACAGCTGAAAAAAGTACTGAATTATTGCAGGAACCTGCCATAGCAAAAGAAATTAGCATTGCTACTAAGCACGCATAGAAGAACATTAGTTTAATTGTTGATGCCCGAATTGGATATTTCGTTTACACTATATTTTTGTTGAAAATTATTCATTAGACGGACACGCCCAACTCGGATGAATTTTGTGCCCGTCCCAGTCAACGTTCAACATCCGTTATTGCCTTCAGAAAAAATGGCGCAAACAAAGATGTCTGAGTATGTCCATAGGTTAATGAAAACGTCTTCCAGCAATTTTCAATGCGCCGAATAGCTGAGTAAATTTTTCGAGTTCTATACATGTGAACGTGAAAGGGACGCCAATCGATATAGGTCATGCACCAGCTCTCAACAAGGCATTTCTCATGCTTTAACCTGTCATATATTTCTCGCGAGATGCAATAAGCATTTCCTATTGTTGGTACATTTGAAAAACGTCTATATGATCCAATGCATATGGTAGGAACAGTGGGTCAAAACACAGAAATAGCTATATTTTTTGTATTGTCCATGCATATAGCGAATAGAAGACCCAGGCCCAGTATCCGCAGCATACACTCAACAGTTACGTTGCGTTTAGTCGACTGAGGGAATAAGTACAGCAACAACTACTAAACATTTACATTGGACAATTTCGAAAAATGGGTCCAAAATGATCGAATTATCGCCGGTGATACGGTGACGATCGTTCTCCAATTGCCCAACTGCCTGTAACATTCTTCTCGCGTACTCATTCACGCAGTTACGACAATTGAGGAAACTTTGATTGTTATCGCTTTGCTATCACATGCTAACCGTGATATTGGCATGTAGATGTAATGCTAGCAGGTTAGAGTACTTTGGCTATGTAGTAATAGATGTTAGAACCTTACAGCAACCTGCGATGAGCCACCTTGAGAGCAACATGCGAACCAGTTGGATGCGATATCACGTGAGCTCGAACCGCATCCTATTTCCACGATTTCAAAAAGTACCAAGTTTTAACAAGATGTAGGTGGTACTTTTTGAGGACAAGGGTACTATGAACCAAGGATTGCATTTAGTATAAATATTTTTCGCTATAGGCTCTCTCCGCACAATGATCTGTGGCCTCTATTAAAGAAAAATGTATGGTAACGAGTAAACGAGTGCAGAGTCGACTCCTACCCGGGACGAGGTAGGAATCATCCTTTGAACACTGAAAATCACTTAAAGACAATAGTCAGTCGTGGAAACAACTTGATTTCCGTCGTGCACATACGAACTGTTCGCGTACTAACAAAACTATTTAACTCAGTCCCGTAAAGTTGCCTGCTTGGTAGGTCGATATAATGCTTATCAACTTTAGAGAGTCGAAGGCCAATCTATAAACAGCTAGGTATCGGATCGCGTTAGGTAAAACCAAAACGGTAAGTTAGTAACTTGGTCATTTTCGAAAAGGATGGCAGTTATATGGCTGTCTTACCTCTAACAATAGAATTATGGAACAGTCTAGGTAATAAGAAAATAATACGCTGTCGTTTTAGATAGGACGTAGCATTGGATCGCAAAGCTTAAACACGCGCTAGCGTCAAACACACTTTCGAATGATCTAACGTAGAGTTACGCCGTCCTTTGCGCCTGACAAGCTTCATCTCTAAATTATCAACATGGTAGAAGTGCTCTCGATTCCGTTGCACGTCCTTTAAAAAACAATACTTTAAATAGATTTGTGCTTAGTTGAGTCAACCGGCTCATTGTGCCATTGGTTCCTATACAAAAGAGTTACGTTGTTGTAGTAGTAGCATGTCCTACTTAGTTCTTGCCTCGCATCCGTGACGTACAAAGCACACAGAGTGCTCCTTGTCTGTGCTTAAATAAACCGCTTACTTTCTAAGAGCAGTCTTATGGCACGGCATAATCTCGCATTTCTCGAGTCGAACCGGTTGGTTGCTTACGTAGAAGCTAAGCAAAAATTTTACGTCTAAGATAGGAAAAATTATGTGGCAAGTCTTTGTCGTGCGATATGCCCAGGACCAGATATAAAATAACGGCGACCACAGCAATGGTCGCCTTTTGGGTCTTCTCAAATTTAAAATTGATACTTATAATCAAACAGCGATCATCATTGCCATCACCGTCGTAAACAACGACTCACGAATTGGGGTTTCATGGGCGTGATTTCCTTCGCCAACCTGCCTTTACGTGAAGTCAGCTGCATAAGGCACTGTTTACTCCAGACTGGTGTATTTCTATTAACTAGCTTCGCAATATCCAAAATTAATTAGCAAACTATTCTATTGCTAAATACATAGTGACAAATTCCCTAGCCCCACTGGAAAAGGAATAAAGTTTAATTGCGCCGCTGCTCATTCGCTTATTTCGGTCACCATTTATTGGGAGTTTAGCGTCAAGCAACATACCAGAAATAAGTAAACGTTGTTCATTGGCTTACTTAATCGTCCAATATATAATAAGGGCTTTTGTAGTTTTTTTTTTTTCGGCTGTCAAGCCGTTCATGCCGATGTGTGTGCGTCGATCTTTGCAGTCATGATTACGCCTTATACAGTGATACATATTAGTTTAAAATGTACGGTATGGTCA